GGTGGACTCCAACTCCCAGAATCCCCCAGCCAGCCATGCTGGCTGGGGGATTCTGGGAGTTGGAGTCCACCCATCTGAAGGCTGCCAAGGTTGAGAAACCCTGGTCTAGTAGGTCAGGCTGGTACAGGTTGGAGGTTGTGTTACCACCAAGACGGGCTGGGATGCCAAGATTTTGAGCTGATCAGGTCATTACTAACGACATTTTCAAAGCTTTTAAAGTAACAAAAAGAACATAATTCACCAAAACCATCTGAATAACAATACATTCAGCTAAAACATTTGCAGTGTCTTTTCCTAGACTCGATGCAATGGTTTTCTCAGAAACTCGAATGCTTTGGAACATACCAGATAAAAGCATTTTTAGTGGTTACCCAACTAAAAAGCTGGGCTGAAATAAATAGGAATAACTTTTATGAAATTTGGAACAGAAAGTTGGAGTTTTCTGTTTTACGGAATCAATGCTGTCTGGTTGTTGAAGCTGGTAAATACGTTTCTTATGCTACTAATCTGAGATTAACTCATTAAAATAGTTGTTCTAATTCACTGGCGATATGCTTCCCTGTGCCAGAAATGCAATGAATTTGAGCACACGTTTGTTCACAGTCCTTGGCCCTGCCCTGCGTTTGCCTCATATTGGCTGCGAATTCTTACTCTGGCATAGATAAGATTTAAAGATATTGCAAAAGTTTGGAATCGCTCTATCTCTGAAGAACTTTGGATCTACTATGACCAGATTGTTGTTTAAAGGATCGCATGTTCCTGGAAGAGTCGTACAGATGCCAAAGGTTGGGTTGATGAAATGTACCAACGCTCAGCTTTTGAATGGGCTTTTTTTTTTTTGAACGTCAAGGAAAAACTGGACAATATGATTCTGTGTAGTCAAGGTTTCATTTCTTGTTTAACCAGTGAGTTATAGCAATCATCACCTAGTTGTAAATCATTGTTGTGTTTTACTTTCTGGTTGGATGGGGGCTTTTTTTCCTACCCTTCTTTTTAAAATTTATATTCCCATGTTCTGTTTTCCTCTGTTTGAGCAATGCAACTATTTTAAAAATTAAGCAAGGTACTAACTAACTAAGCTGCGTGTACATGTAGCTTCTAATTGGCCTGGTCAGAAAAAGACCACGGAATAAGATCAAAATTAGGCAAGCGGGGGAATCCTGCGCCTGGGATTCTTCTGGGAATGACCCCTGAAAGTCATGTTGTGGTGGCTCCCCGTTTGTTGTTTTTACAATCGTCTGCTGTTCACCCTGGCCTCCTTCTTCTTCCTCGGGCTGAGAAGAGGGGACTGGCCCAAGGTCGCCCAGTTGGCTTCGTGCCCAAGGCTTCATGCCCATGGCACTTACCATCTCCTGGCTTTTACCCTGGTGCCTTTAACCACTACACCACTCTGACTTTCCTAGACATGGCTGAGTTAGCATGACTCTGTCCTTGTAATCTGCTTTGTGTGTACACCTTGTAAATTAGCCTATTCCTGGCCAAAGCTCTAGAAGCCATCCTTTGAAATGCTGGCCGCGTGCCCAGAAAGCAAGAGGAATCTTCATTCAGTTACACGGTGCCATTTGGCCATGACAGTTGCCTGAGGGCCCCATTCCCAGCGGCTGACCCGGTGCCCAGCCCCTGGAGGACATCCCCGCCCTGCTCCCCCCCTCAAGCCCTCCTGTGCTGCGGAGAGGCGCATGTTCACGAGCAGCCTGGGCAAAGGAGGGGGATGCGCAACTGCCAGCCCGGCCCACTGCCACCGCTGCAGGACAGGCTGTAGTGTGGCCAGAGTGGGCTTCTGTCAAGAGCAGACTGAAGGACGCACAGGGACCTGGGACTCAAAGGCAGAAGCTTCTGTGAGCTGTGGCTCTCTTCCTCCGATGCAGAGAGGGGCTGGGTCAGTGTTCCTCGACCGTGGCAACTTTAAGACAGGTGGACTTCAACTCCCAGAATTCCCCAGCCAGTTATGCAGTTGAAGTCCACCTGTCTTAAAGTTGCCACGGTCGAAAGCTTCTGCCTTTCAATCAAAGGGGTCATTTGCAAAAGGCGCTCCCCAGCTCCTCCTGATCTTTGGTGACCAGAGACTAACACGGCTCTCCTGCAAGCCCCAGGCAGAAAATGGCCATCTGGCTTGGAGTCCCACCGGTGGAAAGTCTCCCCTCTGCAAAAGTGGGTCCCTGGCTTCCAGCCGTGACGTTTATTCCCTTCTCCGCTGAGATTATCTCCTTCCTTCTTCCAGAATAACCCCAGCAAGACCGAGGAACTGCCCATATCACTTAAACTTCCATTCTCTGGGGACTTGAGAAGGAAATGAGTTGATAGAGATGACTCTGTGCTGAAGGATGGATTCGACCTCCTTCTGGGAGGGAACCCCTCGAGTTGCAAAAGGCATGACCCAGGAAGTCTTCTGGCAGGGGATTTCCCTGTTTAATCCTTCCGTCCTGCAATTAAATGATTACCGCCAGAACAAAGTCAGTGTCCCAGAGTTAGAGTCATGTGAACACGCCAACATGATTTCTTCAAGGAGAAAAAATGGAAGCCACTCTTCTTTCTTCCCCCAGGGTTTTGGTGGGGAGGGGCGACCTCTCTCAGGGGCAGTAGAAGCATCATTGACACGGCTGCCAATTTCCCCACGTCCCCTTGCCAGGGTGGGAAGCCCTTCCACAACCTTCATTCCATGCTTGAAAGAGGAATTACCCTGGGGGGAGGCAGCTCCCCCCGCTGGCTGCAGCCATGAAACTCCCCTCCTCCAACTGCGAGAAATCTGCTGCCCCCCCCCCGGCCAAACCATAAATGCCCTTTCC